CCCCCCCCCCCGCCCCACAGTCCCATCCACATTCCACCAGATATTACATGGCCAGCAGCAGATTGCCTGCTCTGGCTTCTGGCTGGCCCCACACCTAGAGGGTCACATGACTGGGCTGATTGCCAGCTCTTTCCCCAAATCCTGGCTCCTGCAGCCTGACTTGCTTCTAAAGTAGCAGGTGTGCCCAGAGTGCCCTGCCACACCCCACCCACTGGGGAGCTTCTACGAAGCCCAGGCAGCCCAGGACTTGGAGGTCCACCCAAAGCAGGAAGCCTCAGAGCCCACTGAACTATACCTGCCTCACCCTAACTGGCTGGATAAGGGGGCCACACCAGGGAACCCTGTAAGCTGCTCCATGGGTCGGTTCCTCGGTGAGTTGCTGAAGTGTGCTGCTGGGGTGCGCTGGTCCTTGTTGCAATGTAAGCTGCTCCTGTGCTCCTCGGTGAGCTCCTGGAGTGTGCTGGTCCTTGCTGCGATGAAAGCTGCTTCTAGGAGGTCCTCAGTGAGCTGTTGGGGTGTACCAGTCTTTTCTGCAACATGAGCTGCTCCTGGGGGGTCCTCAGTAAGCTGCTGGAGCGCGTCAGTCTTTGCTGCGATGGCAGCTGCTCCTGGGGGATCCTCGGTGAGCTGCTGGAGTGTGTCAGACCTTGCTGCGCTGTCAGCTGCTCTTGTGGGTTCCTCAGTGAGCTGCAGCATTCCAGCCACATTTTCATCTTTCACACATTGGTGCTGAGCACTGAAAAGAACCCCAAATTTGCTGAAACTTCCTTCCACATCAGATGAATTTACAGTCAGTTGGAGAAGAACCATTGCATATTTTGCCAGGTTGGGAATGCGATCTTCAACAGCCATCCAGAACTGAATGGGATCCTCAACGTCTGCAAACCCATCTTTGACAATCCCTAAATACACTGGCCATTCCATGTTGCATTCATTGGGCAGCTTTAATGCCTGTTTCACAGTTTCATAATCTGTATAAACAGCACCAATTTGTTTAGGATCCAGTGCACGAACAGCGCGGAGAAAATCAATTGCTGGCTGTTTATTTTTTACGTTGTATTGTCTGAGTTTATCAGCAGCACTTTGAGCAGCTGTGGACCCTTTCCCATTATCAGCTGATGATGCAAGATGCTCCAGCCATGAAATTAAATCTAGGACAGTGTTGTACACTTTGTGTATTTGGCGTTTTTGAGACTGTAAAATGTCCAGTGCTGTCACCAGACGTCCACAGTTCTCTGCGATATACTTAAGGTCAGTGTGTAGGTCTTCTACCACTAACAAGCTAGCTAGTTCCCGCAGAACAGATGTATCCCCTTGTTCTGTTCGTTCATGCTCTACAAACCCATGGTAGAACTTGTAGTGCTGTGCATGGTACTTTACACAATTGAACCATGTATTCCACCTGGTCACAACTGGTTCGGGTGGAAGTGTTGGTGAATCAACACTCTGTTCCTTCAGGTATCTCAAGAACCGTGCACGACGAGCTGGAGCTTTCCCTAAAAGTGTCTTCATCAAAGCAACAAAGCGATCCACTTGCTTGAAGGTATCTCGCCAAGTATTTCCTGCTAAAGCAACTACATGTGCATAGCAACGAATATGTACACAGTTTGACCACAGATTGCAAAGCACAGCGTTCCAAGCATTTGCCATGTAGCTTGCACCGTCTGTAACAAATGCTAGTATTCGCTCAAGTGGGATGCTGAATTCCACCATACAAGAAATCAAGGCTTGTGAAATGGTGGCATGATCAACATTCCCCAGGTACACGGTCTTTACCAGCTGTGGTGCAGGAATGTCCGCATGCCTAGGAGGGCGTACCCTGAGCACCTGAAATAAAATGTTGAAAACTGGTTTATTTTCAAAGTCGATTGTTTCATTGGTGACCACAGCAATGAAGTTTCCCTCGAAGTCATTAATAAGACGCTGTTTTTCCTCTTCAAAAAGAGGTGGTAGGTGGGAATACAACTGATCTAACTTGGGAATGGCACTGCCTCCCTCGACGTGTTTGTTCAAAAAATCCCTGACAACAGGTAAATCCATTTTTTGCAGAGGAAGGTCTGCTTGTAAACACATTCGAACAAAATCCAAAGTGACGGTGTCACGGTGGTCTTTGGCAACTGAGGAATGCGGGAATGCTGCAGTGTCAGTACATTGTTTCTTTACTGTTGATGGCCCTGCTGTTTCAGCATCTTCTCTTCGTCTCTTTTCATTATGTTTATGCTTAGCGCTTTCCATGTGTTCTACAATTGTCTGCTTTCGAACATGATCTACAGCTTTGTTGCATGCAGTGCAGAACAGCACAGTACCATCAGTGTGAAATTTATCCTTGCCAAACTGAGCAACACGGTCTTTAGGGGTGACTTTTGCAGTCTTTGGCATCTTTTCTAAACTTGGATGCGATGTCCGGAGGCTGAAGTAAAATGTGAGATGCATCAAAACACAGGACCGACTCAATTCGCGACTGCATTTTTTTTCATGGAAAATGTGGAAAAAAGCAAGCCCTGGAATTTTGTTGGAGATAGGGGGAAAAAAAGGGCTTCCTAGTTCCAAGGAGAAAAGGTGGGAAACCTTCCCACCCTAAAACAAGCTGTGCAAGCCCTGAAACACAAGGGCAGGGGTCTGGGGGCAACACAGGACTGCCAGGCTGCTGGGTGCCAGCTGGCGCTGCCTGTGGGGCTCACCCTGTGGTGGGTCTCAGCTGGCACTACCTGTGGTGCAGACCCTCAGCAGCTGTAGCGATATCCCAGGCAGAGGCCATGCCACTGCTGCAAAGGAAGACTAAACCCTGCCCAGTCTGACCAGGGGAAAATTCATTCCTGACCCCAGTGCAGCATCAGTCTGACCCTAAGCCAGAGGGGCAAGACCCTGTAGCCAGCACCCTCTGGGACTTAAGCCTTGCCAGCACTGACACATCCCCAACCAGTGGCTGACCAACCTCTTTTTAAACACTTCTAGTGCTGGAGAGTTCACAAACTTCTCTACTGAACCACAAGCTGCAAAATAAAAATCACTGGGGCCACCAGTTAGATGTCACTGGTTAGACCAGGGTCCTTGGTTAAATGGAGATAATCAGTTACCCCACTAGGCAGACTGAGGTGACTGGTTCAGTCTTCATTTAAACTGTCTCTAACAATTTTTTAAACTGTAAAAACTACTGGCTCACATGAAGACACACAAAGATAAAATGACATACTCACTGCTACCACAAAGACACGCCTCACTGCTCTATCACGAATCCGAATCCTCAGGTTTGTCTCTGAACTTGCAATCTCTATTGCGCTTTTTTCCCCCCTCTTTGGCTCCTTTAGTCTATATTATTGATTAACAGAGAATGGAGTTAAATGTAGGTAAACAGCTGTAAATAAATACTACTGCAATCTCAGTTAGTGCACTCTTATTCTTACAGCCACTTATGTTTCAGATCAGCTAGTTCCAAATGCCTATTTCCAAAGCTTGCTTAACACTTGATGCAGTTTTAGCATGTAAAGTATGGAAAGGAAGGGGGGCAAGCAAGCTCCTAGGGTCTGTGGAGCAATGGGAGGCTGGGGACGTATCTAGAGGAACTGTGAAGGGGGAGAAGGCTTGGGGCAGCTTCATTGGGGGTGAGGGCTTGCAGAAGGGAGAGATACAGCTC